AGTCATGCAGAAGTAAAGCGATTTGCCCAAGCTAATCTAGTCAGCCAGGGAAGAACTGGGAAATGAACACAGGAAATCTGGCTCCAGAACTTAATGTCCTCACCTACAGCACTGTGTTCTTTCCCACCCAACATGACTCCTTGCCCCTCCTCTATTGTTGTGGCTCTTTTTTCTCACTGAGCTGGATATTATCTTAGAGCTCTGAGAGGTATCTTCTGTGATACTTTGGATGTGCCTCTTTGTGCTTGTGAGTTTTCTTTCTTCTCACTCCTAACTCCTTCGTAAATGATCCTAGAACCCTCCAAAGGTGCTTGACAGAGAAGCAGCCGGGCCTTGATAGAGCCCTCAGAAACCAATGAATGAAATAAAAGTCTTCCTCCCCACAGAGAATAACTTCCTTTCCGGAACCTCATTAACGGCCATCTAAGGCTCCACTGCCCCTCTCCCACCCTGCCTTTGGTATCTCACTATTATAGTTATAAAACATCATCAGAGTTGCAAGCAGAGAACAGGAGTTGTTTTTATGAGGACTTATGCCAGATGTCTTATTGTTTTATTCAGAAGGGATATGTTAATTACTGGAGGTGGTGGGAGAAATGGTGAGAAAATAAATGACAGATAAATTTCCTTCTAAGGAAAAATGAATGCATTTTCTGGTGGGGCTTTTATTTATGTGAATTTGAGTCCAGTGCTTTAAAATAGAGGCAGAGCAATGTTACCAGTGGCACTTCCTCTCTGTGCTTATTCTAGCCTCTCCGCTAAGAAGAAGTTAAATATCTAAAATATATTGTCTTGGAGGATGTCAAATTATTAGCCTGCCTGGGAACTTTACTTGTCTGAATCTAAGCCTGCTCCCTGGAGTCCCATTGCTACTACTTCCCCACCCCCCGCACCCACAGCCCATCGTGCTCAGAACAAGTGTATTTGCATAGAGGCAGGGGGATGGACTCTTGAATTGAAGATTTCATTCCTCTGCATGCCTTCTTCCCTGGAATATCATTATCACAAGATCCATCTAGTGTTTATTTGGTAACTTTATACTTCCAATTCTCTACTTACTGTCTCTATGGTCCCTTTTCTTCATGTTCCCTTTTAGATTCTTAGTCACTCATTCTTTCCCTAGTCCTAATAGCTAGCTGACATATCAGAACTTCAGAAGGAAACAGATATTACCTGAGTCCTGTGAAAGCTAAGAAAAGAAGGGCTCTATACTTAAACTTTTTTTAAAATTTCAGAATATTATGGGGGTACAAATGTTTTGGTTACATGAATTGCTTTTGCACAGTTTAAGCTTTAAGTGTTCCCATCACCCAGATAGTGTGCACTGTACCCATTAGGTGTGAATTTACCTGCCCCCTCCTCCCCTGTCCCACCTTCTTGGTTTCTGTTGAGTTTTACTCCCATATATGCCCATGAGTGTTGAATGATTAGTTCCAATTTAATAGTGGGTATATGTGGTGTTTTTTTTTTTATTTTTGAAATATTTCACTTAGAAGAATGGTCTTCAGTTCCATCCAAGTTGTTACAAAAGGTATTAGGTCACCGTTTTTTATGGCTCAGTAGTATTCCATGGTATACATACACAACATTTTATTAATCCACTTGTGTATTGATGGGCACTTGTGTTGATTCCACATTTTTGCAATTGCAAATTGTGCTGCAATAAGCATTCAAGTGCAAGTGTCTTTTTGATAAAATGACTTTTTTTCCCCTTTGGTAAATCCCCAGTGGGGGATTGTTGGATCAAATGGTAGGTCTACTTTTAGTTCTTTGAGGTATCTCTATAGTACTTTCCGTAGAGGTTGTACTAGTTTGTAGTCCCACCGGCAATATATAAGTGTTCCTTTCTCTCTGCATCCACACCAACATGTTATTTTGGGATTTTTTGATAAAAGCCATTCTCACTGGAGTTAGGTGATATGTCATTGTGGTTTTGATTTGCATCTCCCTGATGATTAGAGATGTTGAACATTTTTTCGTGTTTATTGGCCATTAGTCTATCATCTTTTGAAAAACTTCCGTTCATGTCTTTTACCCATTTTTTAATGGGCTTATTTGATTTTTTCTTGCTGATTGTTTGAGTTCTTTATAGATTCTGGTTATTAGCCCTTTGTCAGATGTATAACATGCAAATATTTTCTCCCATTCTGTAGGTCGTCTGTTTCCTCTTTTGATTGTTTCCTTGGCTGTATGGAAGCTTTTTAATTTAATCGAGTCCTATTTGTTAATTTTTGGTTTTGATGTAATTGCTTTTGGGGTCTTCATAAATTCTTTGCCTGGGCTGATAGCTATAAGAGTTTTTCCAGCATTTTCTTCTAGAATTCTTATAGTTTCATGTCTTAGGTTTAAGTCTGTTATCCATCGTGAATTAATTCTTTTGAGTGGTGAGGGGTGCAGATCCTGTTTCAGTCTTCTACATCTGGCTATCTAATTTTCCCAGCACCATTTATTGAACATGGATTCATTTCCCCAGTCTATATTTTCGTCTGCTTTGTCAAAGATCAGATGGCAATATGAGGATGGTTTTTATCTGGGTTCTCTGTCTGATGCATAAGTCTATGTCTCTGTTTTTGTGCAAGTACCATGCTGTTTTGGTTCCTATAGCCTTGTAGTATAGCTTGAAGTCTGGTAAAGTGGTGCCTTCTGAATTGTTCTTTTTGCTTAAGATTGCTTTGGCTATTAGAGGTCTTTTCTGGTTCCATACAAAGCATAGAACTAATTTTTCTGGATCTGTTAAAAATGACGTTGGTATTTTAATGGGGATTACATTGACTATGTAAATCACTTTAGGTAGTATAGACATTTTAACAATGTTGATTCTGCAGATCCTTGAGCTTGATATGTTTTTCCATCTGTTTACATCCTCTGCTATTTCCTTCCTCAGTGTTTTGCAGTTCTCCCTGTAGAGGTCTTGCACCTCCTTGGCTAAATATATTCCTAGGTATTTTATTTTCTTTGTTGCTATTTTGAAAGTTATTGCATCTTTGATTTGATTCTCAGCTTGACTGTTGTTGTTGTATAGGAATGCTCCTGATTTGTGTACATTGATTTTGTAAGCTGATACTTTGCTGAATTTATTATCAATTCTAGGAGTCTCTTGGCAGAATCTTTGAGATTTTCTAGATATAAGATCATATCATCAGCAAAGAGTGATAGTTTGACCTCTTCTTTCCTCATTTGGTTGCCCTTGATTTCCTTCTCTTGCCTGATAGCTCTGGCTAGGACTTCCAGCACTATGTTGAATAGAAGTGGTGATAAAGGGCAATCTTGTCTGGTTCCAGTTCTAAGTGGGAACACTTTCAATTTTTCCCTATTCAGTATGATGTTGGCTGTGGGCTTGTTATAGATGGCTTTTATAATTTTGAGGTATATCCCATTTATGCCTATTTTGTTAAGTGTTCTTATCATAAAGGGGTGCTAGAATTTGTCAAATGCTTTTTCTGCATCTATTGAAAGGATCATATGGTCTTTGTTTTTGCTTCTATTTATGTGGCTAATTACATGTATAGATTCATGTATGTTGAACCATTCTTGCATCTCTGACTTGAAGCCCACTTGGTCATGGTGGATTATTATTATTTTATTTATGTGCACCTGAATTCACTTTGCTACGATTTTATTTTATTTCTTAATTTTTAATTTTTTTTTTTTGAGACAGAGTCTGGCTCTGTTGCCCGGGATAGAGTGCCATGGCGTCAGCCTAGCTCTCAGCAACCTCAAACTCATGGGCTCAAGCGATCCTCCTGCCTCAGCCTCCTGAGTAGCTGGGACGACAGGCATGTGCCACCACGTCTGGCTATTTTTTCTATTTTTAGTAGAAAAATAGTAGCTCTTGCTCAGGCTGGTCTCTAACTCCTGACCTCAAAGGATTCTCCCGCTTCAGCCTTCCAGAGTGCTAGAATTACGGGCATGAGCCACCACACCCAGCCCGTTTTGCTAGGATTTTAATGAGAATTTTTTACATCTATATTCATAGGGGATATTGCTCTGTAGTTTTCTTTTTTTGTTGTTGTTGTTGTGTCCTTTCCTGGCTTTGGTATGAAGGTGATATCGGCTTTGTAGAATTAATTGGGGAGGATTCCTTCTTTCTCGATGTTATGGAATAATTTCTGCAATACTTAACTTTCTTAGCATCAGGAAAACCTGATTCTTTCTAAGGGTTTGGGAACAGTGGGGTGGGAAGGAGAACTGTATTAGTGGAGCCAGTCAGGTTTGGGGGATGTCTAGATTTCCATTACTCAGAATAGTTTCCCTGGGGGGTTCCATGGATAAGGAGGTCTAGAAACAATGAAAAGCTACCTGATTATGGGAGGGGCATGAGAACTGATCAGGAGTAGGTGATGAAAATTGCCACTGCTCACTGCCTTTAGGGGAAGATGTGAATCTGCGTCAGAGGGGAAAAATATATCCTTTATGCTTCTTCTGTATTTCTACTTGGTACTGTATTTTGAAGCACAGGGAGCCACAATTACAAGTATCCTGTGAAATGTTCAAGGTAATGGGCAGATAAGCTTAATATGATTAAATATAATCAGGTTAAAATATGGTCTGTCTAATAGGTCTTAAGGAAGAAGATATATTGTTATAAACACAAGCTATCAGAAAGTGGTGTGACTTAGGGAGGTATTTTAAGGTTAAAATTTGGATAAACAGAAGTGGAAGGGGAGGAAAATTTAGGTAAGCACAGGAAGAGCAAAATCATGGGGGAAGGACAAGTACAACACAGGTAGGGGGTAAATGTTGCTTGTGTGGAAATGATAGAATGAGATCAGAAAAATAGGGTGGGGCCAAACTCGGGGGGCAGGGTGATTGGAGGCAAGTCAGCCTCTATTGGTTCTTGAAGCATTATTGTCATAGAAGCTCTACATGCAAACGAAGCATTGAGGGCCAGAAGCCATTCCTAGACCCAAGCGAGCATTCTCTGGGAGAACTTTCCCCTGTAGAGTCCAGCAATTCAGAAATCCATGCTATTTTTTGTGAGCTCTGCACATACTCAGGGATGCTTTCTGTTCCTATCACTTTCAGCCAACTCATCAGCTTCTAAGTCATTGCAGAGAGGAACATAAAGTGCGTCATGACTCACACCAACTTTACCATCTTCCACCCTGCAGTGTTTGTCCTGCTTGGCATCCCTGGGTTGGAGGCTTACCACATTTGGTTGTCAATACCCCTTTGCCTCATGTATATTACTGCAGTCCTGGGGAACAGCATCCTGATAGTGGTCATCATCACAGAACGTAACCTCCATGAGCCCATGTATTTCTTCCTCTCCATGCTGGCTATCACGGACATTCTGCTGTCTACCACTACTGTGCCCAAGGCCCTAGGTATCTTTTGGCTCCATGCCCATGATATTGCCTTTGATGCCTGTGTCACCCAAGTCTTCTTTGTCCATGTGATGTTTGTGGGGGAGTCAGCCATCCTGTTAGCCATGGCCTTTGACCGTTTTGTGGCCATTTATGTCCCCCTGAGATATACGACAGTGCTAACAAGGCCTGTTGTGGGAAGGATTGCTCTGGCTATTGTCACTCGAAGCTTCTGCATCATCTTCCCAGTGATCTTCTTGCTGAAGCGGTTGCCCTTCTGCCGAACCAATATCATTCCCCATTCCTACTGTGAGCATATTGGAGTAGCTCGCTTAGCCTGTGCCAACATCACTGTTAACATCTGGTATGGCTTCTCAGTACCTATTGTCATGGTCATCTTGGATGTGATCCTCATCGCTGTGTCTTACTCACTGATCCTCCGAGCAGTGTTTCATTTGCCCTCCCAGGATGCTCGGCATAAGGCCCTCAGCACTTGTGGCTCCCACCTCTGTGTCATCCTCATGTTTTATGTTCCGTCCTTCTTTACCTTATTGACACACCGCTTTGGGCGTAACATTCCTCGACATGTCCATATCCTGCTGGCCAATCTTTACCTGGTGGTGCCACCAATGCTCAATCCCATTGTCTATGGTGTGAAGACTAAACAGATCCGGAAGGGTGTAGCCCACTGGTTCTTTTACATCAAGAATTGGTGCTGTGCCTCTCCTCTGGGATGATGGATCCTCATGAATCTCCATGCCCAGCTTCAGCAAAGAAGCTAAATGTGAAATACAGAGATTTCCTGGACTGAGAGGACTTTTCTTTCTCCTCTTCTTCCTCTTCTTTCAACTTCATCCTCCTCCTTCCACTTTTCTGTTTTTATCTTCTAGCTCTTTCTCTTTGCTTCCTTCTACCATTTCCTTGTTTTATCTACCCTCTTTACACATTCCTCCCTACAACCCAGAAATGATAACTAAGTGTACATGCATCTGATATGAGCCCTTGGTATACTCAGTAGACTAGATATACTCCAGAAGCACAGGAAGTTGAATACCCTACATGAAATGAGGTTATAAACAAATGAATAAAAAGTAATTTTATATTTAACATTTGAAGGGATTCCATTTTTTTAAATCTAAAAATGTGCATCAATTCTTTGTACAGAACCAAGTAACTCTTCACCCACTTCTACAATAACAGGTGTTTTGAAAAACAGCCATACAAGCCCTTCACCCATCTGGAAAACTCCTTCAAATTTCAGTTCAAGAACTACCTTTCCTGAGAAGTCTTTCCTGATTTCTCCAGGGAAGCCAAGGGTCCTATCTTCATATATCTAGTGCATCTTGTACAAATCTCCAAATGTGCACAATAAATTGTAATGTAATGAGTTGTTCATTTATTTATACGTTCAATTGATTGTAAACACCTTGAAATCAGAAGAATATCATTAATATTTATACCCTCAGTGCATTACAAAATGCCTGGCACATAATAAATGTTTGAAAAATGAATAGGAGCACAATTACCTCCCTGAAGTCAGAACATGCATCTCGATGATACACTGAAATGACCAGCTAAATTAGTTTACAAAACCAATGATTAGTAAACCAGCTTCTCATGAAGGCAGTTTGGCATCATGGAGACAGATCAGCTGCTGATCTGCAGTACTTACCTATCACACCTTTGCTGTAACTCAGAGACTAGGGAATAGACAAAGTAGGAGGAAGCAGGGTACTCTTGGTTCTCTCTTCTACCTGGCTTTTGAACAGCCCCAGTATTAGGAATTATAGCACATTGCTCATGGCCAATTTAGCAGAATTTGAGTACTCTCTTAGGGTTCACAGTCTTAACACTCATTCTTTTATGCTTTTCTAGAAAAGGTCATGTATACTCATTTCTTCAACCACCACCTACACTAAGGAGTTCCACATCTCTCTCTCTAGCCTAGAACTCTCTTTTGAGTTTTAGACACATAAATCCACCTATTAGTTGGTTATCTCCTGTAGGATATAGAACTCCCACTCAAGGCAACTTTTCCTCCTGTGTTCCTTTTCTTGGGAACTAGATTATGATGATCCTGTCAACTTCAGTGAGCTGGAAACCCTGGAGTCTTTCTCAATTTCTTCCTTTTAGACCCACTCTTCAATAAGTTATTGGTTGATACTCATAGTGATTGTATCATTAAATAGGTATGTGGATGGTATTTGGAGTCATATCAGGATACAAGTCCTGTTCTCATTGTTTTCTAGCTGTGTGTACTTGTGAAATTCATTTAACATTTTTAATCCTCAATTTTTTTATCTATAAAATGGATACCTTATAGGGTACCTTCGTAGAGTTGTTGAGAAGATTTAATGAAATAAACTGTGTATGTAACATTTAATATAATCCTTTGTTTACAGTATCTGAGAAATATTTTATTGATACCAAGTTATTAATATTGTTAGTCTTCATCTTAACACTGCCTTTACCAATTACTTATGACCTTTCCATCTTTCACCTCAGATATTGCATTAGTTTCCTGATTTCAATGTTTTCAATCTTTCGCACTTTAACCTAAACTATAAAGTGACTCTAAGTTAAGCATTCTAAAAGACGGAGCTGATCAAGCAAATTTCTGTCAAATACTTTGGAGGATTTTTTCATTACTTATAGAGTGTTTTTTTTCTCACATTTCTGTGACCATAGATATCTGTATTCATGTTCATATAATTTTTTTTATGGCATACCAATCTACACCTCTAAAATAACCTAGTGTTCTGTTAGCTACAGTGGGAAACCACAGGACTACAGAGTAAATTCTAAGCTAAGCATTAATTTAATAATCTAGTCCTAACTTACTTTTCCATCACTATCTGAAAACACAGCATTATATAATAATACATTAATCCATAAGATAGTACCAGTAATGATAATAATAGTTACAATAACAGGTAATGTTTCTTAAGAGATTCCTCTATGCTAGAAACCATGTTAAGTGCTCTGCTGCATTATCTTATTTAATCCTAATACGAGCTCATTAGATAGTGCTGTTATTATCTCTGTTTAGTTACACAGGGCTACCCAAGGCTCAGAGAAGATAAATGATTAAGGTCATAGATCTGGCAAATCGTAGAGAACTGATGTCAATTCCTCTTTGAAGTCTTCACCAATCCCCTCAAGTAAGAGGTAATCACCTTATCCTCTGGGTCTCTACAGCAGTGACAGTTATTGTCTCAATTGAATATTAATTACTCTGTTTATGAAACCACCAGAACTTGAGTTCTATGAGGGCAGAGATTTTACTTATAATTATAGTTCTAATATCTAGTATATACATAGGGTAACCACATGCCTATTTATGGATTGAAATGGTGATGTGGTTGACCTATGGACCCTTCATTGTTAAATATTACCTAATTTTATGATTAAAAAATCACTTAAGCACACACACACACACACACACACACACACAC